TGAATATTGCTTCTTTCCTTAAAAACGTGCATTATTTATAATGAGATTATATTGATAATTGATAGCTTTCTATCAGTTTACTTTTTATCATAAATATAAGATTGATTATATATTCCATCTCTTTATACATAATATATAAAATAAAAGATCAAAGTTACACATACCATATAAAATTAAATGTAAAAAGGAATAACTTATTCATACAATTAATTTAAGTCAACAGATATATATTTAAATACTATTTTGCAGTTCTATACTGTAGTAAAGAATGTAAAGAAAGCTCATCAGATACAAGAAAGTGGAGAATTCCAAGAATTTAATGATGATGTGGAATACATTTTGGACACTTTGAGAGAAAATAATCCAAATGCTACTCGTTGCCTTTCAGCCATACGATTAGCAAGTAAATGTATGGCTCCTGCATTTCGCATGCATGTGCGCGCTCATGGAACTGTTGCCAAGTTTTTTAAAGCTCTTCATGATGCAACTAAGGATCAGGTATTGATGTTTACCATATAATAAAATCTCATATTTCTATATATCATAGGGATGGGCATCAATCATTTCAAAGAGAGAAATAATCTTGAAATACTAATATATAAACAAGAAATGTATAAAGGGGAAAGACAAAAATAATATGAACAGTTTTATATTTCGGTACCTGGTTTAAGGAAGAAAAAAGGGCAATGTCTTTAATATTTATAATTTAATTTGTCATATAATTAGAAAAAGAATGAGAAAACAAGTGAAAATGCAATCATATTTCTCTTTTAAATTTTCCTTCTAAAAACCTTTTTGTAGTGTAATATATAATGTACAAACAAATTAGAGGTGGGCAAAAACCGTTGATGTTTACTTATTAGCATATTGCATTATAAAAAAAAGCTTTTATTATATATATATAATTTGACTTTTTATTATTAATTATAAATTGATATTGTTATCTCATTACAGAGTCTTGGTTTATGCACAGCAACAGTAATGTTTGTTTTAAGCCAAGATCGTCTAGCTATGGATCTAGATCGCGATTGTTTGGAATTAATGTTAAGTCTATTAGAATCTGATGCCAGTCATAAGGATGCTCTTGACGACTGTGGTCTCAGTCATGCTGAATTATTAAAAAATAAAGAGAAAGTGCGTCAGTTATGTGCTGATATACAAGCTCAAGGACATGCTAAGCACTTAAATCTAGATAATATCACTGTAAGAGAACAATTTCTTCCCACTATATTTATTTTTATAAATTATTACTTTCATATCTTTACTCTTACTTCCCTGAATAATTTATAATGTATTATATTTAACAGGTTGGTCAGCTTGCTATGGAGACACTTTTAAGTCTTACATCAAAGCGTGCTGGAGAATGGTTTAAAGAAGAATTACGAGAGTTAGGCGGATTGGAACATATTGTAAAGACAATTCGAGAATGCCACCGCCATATTAACAGCCAGAATGTCTTAACATCTGGTTGGACAAATCCTTTATTAGATAAATTACGTAAAGTTGACAGATGTTTACGTGTATTAGAAAATGTAAGTAATATTTTTTATTTTGTTTTTCTCTCATATATTTCATATTGTGACAAATAGCTAAATATTACAATATTTTCTTTAGGTAACACATATGAATGAAGAGAATCAGGTGTATTTATTAAAGTACGAGGAAGGAGTATTAGTAAGCACATTAGCAAGTTTATATCACTTATGTGGACAAGAGATTCCCATTTATCCGACAACAGATCCAAGCGATAAAAGTTCTATTGGTGCTGTTGTTAGAGAATGCCTCTTTGCGATTATTAAAGTTCTCATCAATCTTACTCATCGGTTTAATAGAGGATGTATGATTTTTTTATACTTTTTCATATTATTAGTGCAAGCAGATTAAACTGCAGCAGTTATATATTTATCCACTCATTCCTCAATTAATTAAATTTTTAAAATTAATCTGTATATAAAATGCATTAGTATAATATTTATCATGTTTATACAGCTTTCGGTAGCAAATCGGTTGGTGCACAAGTTGGCGTTTTGGATTGTAGTCTGTTTCTTTTATTACGTGTGCCTGAATCACTTCCGGAAGAAAAGCGGTTCGACATGATGATGCTAGCGTTAATATTATTGATAAATTTAGTAGAGCAATGCGATGATAATAAACAGCTATTCATTGAATCGAAAGCACCTCCATCATCAGAAAATATTTTTGATTGTAGGTATTCCCAATTTATAGAGTTTCTCAATGTAATGTCGATCGCGCGATTCTAATTTCTTCTTTTCTTTATGCACGTAATTTCAGCGGAGGAAAGCGGCGTGGGATCCTTAATCGATTTGTTTTATAAGCAAGAGGAACTTGCGCGTGCCGAGGAACAGAAAACTGATGCCATTCTAGATGGAAAGAAAGATTCTGAACAAACAGAAACTGTATCAACTACTACTAAATCTCAGGAGGAATTTATTGAAGAGACCGTCACTAAATGTTTGTATCATGTTTATTTCCACACGCATGCATACATATCTGATCGCGTTTTTTATATTCCTCAGTTTCTTATATATATATATATTAATAATATACATAATAATACAGTCTCAAAATGAATGAGTCAAAGTGTAATCGATTCTTTTTTATTAAGGAAAATGTCAAAAATATACTATATTTATCCCGTATTTCTTTATTTTAATTTTGTATATTTTTTTTAAATATTATGTATAAAAATAAGTTTACTTATAGATGACTTGCATATCATTTACTCTATGAATTGTTATAATAATTTTTATCTAAAGTTATTTGATATAAAATAAAGAAGAGGTGACAAAAGCCCTCCAAATTGTTATTGAAGAAAAAGAAAATATACAAGATACATATATATATATAAATATCTATATATATTATTAGAACAATATGCACTTATAAGTTTTGATTGTAATTGATTGCATAAACTTATTTTTTATAGTATTACAAAAAGCTGGACGACATATGGAGCACACATTAATTGGTGCATACGTAGTGCTTTTACTTGGATACTTAATAATGGATAACAAGGTAAAAATTAAATGTAATTACATGGAAAATTATAATGGAAGATGTAATTAGTTACTTTACTAAAATTTACATGTTTTATCTAATATATCTACATATAAAGAATAAAATACTCCGAGATTATCAATATTTCTCTTCTTTAACAAAACTTCCTTCTGTGTTCTTTAGGAATACGAGTCATTGGTACGAAATAGACTGCCAGACAAGAATTTTGGAACTATGGTATCTGTACTTCAAAAGTTCTTCAACTTTATGAATATAACGGTATCGGTAATATTGTCTTGTAGAAAATATTTTGCACCATGTTTATTTGAAAAAATACAATGTAATTTGATCTTTTACTTTGTGCACATTTATTTTAGCAGAACGAAGTAAGCAGTTGTGGAATTGCTGCTACCGAAAAGGTAATCAAGTTCCTAAAAATGTCAGATGCCAGAATAGAGGAAGAGAAGAATGAGTTACCATTGTCAGCATTAGAAGACACCAATACGATGCTTGACTTAACTTCATCTTGATCGATATGTTATATACACACTTGACAGCATTTTTTCACCTGGCGTATGCAAAGAGCCAAAGTTGTATTTGTTCAACAAAAAAGAAATTTTTTTTATTACAAAGTGGATGGACTTGTTTCATATTCATATATTTTGATACATATATTTATTCACTTACGTAATTTATTGTTGTAGGTTTCATTATTATTGATTTGGTTTATTTCTTTATTTACAAATTGGAGTTTAGGTATATTTGTAAGCTTTAAGTATAAAATAATATAACTTTGTGAATTATATATAGGGACACACATCTTTTTTGTAATTATAATTGCAGGGCACTTATCGCAATTGTTATTAATTACATAGACTTATTGTCTATGCATGTGTGGTATCTTTAAGATATCATACATATATTAATATAATTCAAGATAATAAAAAGCCACTTTTTCTTTAAAGTTAATAGATCATCAAAAAGGATAACGCGATAAGCTTCTTGCTGTAAGCTCCTTGCTCCAGCCTATACAGTTTAACTTCTGTTTATCATCTTTAAAAACATTGTATAATCTACTAAAATTATATCTATTGTGTTTTTTAAAACCTGTTAAGTGATTGACAGCATTAGGATACAATGTGATCCGCTGAAATTCAATATAGCATTATGTATAAGTTTATTTTAATATTAAAATTATATTATATGATATAAGCCTTGTAAATGTAAATTTATAAATTATAATTGTACCTTATATCTCTGCAGTTTTGGATTATTTTGTGTCCTATTAACTTGTATATGTATATATGATTATTATCACATTATATCATAATGTAAAATATAAAAAATATATATATATCTATTCTATACGATGAAATTTAAAAAATGAGATATAAGTAATAGGTTGTTATATTTCTAGAAAAACCGCTGAAAAAATGCATACAAAGAATTTGTAGTGTGTTTTTTTTAAACACATTAGTCTTGTTGCATTTTGCTGCTTTCTGCTACGAGAAAAGCCAAAAAGCATTTTCAAACCGTATATCGGCCGTAAAACGATACGCTAGAGAAACAAGGATAGAGCGTGATCCTTTTCTATCTTTTCTCTCTACAGTCTACAGTGCGTCCACGCGAGCAATGCAATCAATGTTAAGCCCGAATCACACTAGCGGCTCGCGGCTGCGATTGCGATTGCGATTGCCTCAGCCAATCAGAAAGCACCAATTGCAAGTATGATTGGAGCGTAGCAAATCACAATCACAAACGGGCTCCTACACACAGAACGCGTCAACGCGTTACACGTACCAAGAGGCGACGCGGTAGCCAATCAACTTATAACTTTTCTATTAAAGCGAAAAATTGATTGGCTATCGCGTTGCCTCTTGCCACGCTACGCTTTGATACGTCCTGTGTGCAGGAACCCTACGTATACAGACATACCTTTTCATAGAGACCGAGATTATTTCTCAAATTGGTAACCCTGAAGGCAGAGCTTCGTACGGTCACTGTGCGAGGTCTTCAATATCAATTCGGAATTTTCTCGTTGCTGTTGTCCTGCCGACCACGTGCTAGATCAGAACAGAGAGAATTAGAGAATACGTGTATATATATATTATTACAAAATTTTATTAAAAATGAATACGTATTGGAATATGCTTTATTTGGAGCATCCGCCGTATGCAACATGGTCTATTAAATCATCATCTGTGAAGGAAGCAGGTATTGTAACCTATTTCTAATGAACACGTGCACGTGTGTAAAAAAAAATATTGGGACATCCGTATGATCTTAACTATATACATTTTTGTTTATGTATTATATGCAATTTATCGTTTTGGACATAACATTAAAATTAGAAACAATATTAAATTATATATTTCTGCATACAACCTCAATCGTTTTAATGATTATAGAAATACATAAATACATAACTTGTTTGTTTTAATTTTTAGGTGTAAATATAGATGTATGTAAATTTGTGCTTGACTTGGCAATTTTTGACCTAGAATCAATGGACATTCTTCATAAAGAAGCTGCAGCATTAAGTCGCTTAATATATCGAATGAAGAACAAATTTCGTAATGATAAAGGGTTAAGAAGCATGGTTGCATTGAATAAAGCATTGATTAATTATCATAATATGGCTTTGCTGAAGGAATATAAAGACTTGCGATCTATTATTGAAATGGAAGATGGAATTCACATATTACCGAGTAAACAAATGCTAGAATATGTACTCGTGAGAACACAAGGCTTTGCAAAGCTTATGTGTAAAATAGAAAATACAGCAAAATATGCTGCACATTTCTTAAAAGCACGAATAAACTTGGGTCATGCATGGAGTATTGCTTTAATCGCTTATGCTACTGTGAGCAGGATTTGGTACGATTTTTATAAATAACTTGTGAACTCATTGTTTTTTTTGTTTATTCTGATATTAATTTTGGGTTTATTAATTTTAGGTTTTGCTCAAGACATACGCTTAAGAAATGTTGTAACTGGTACGACAGACTGTATATTTGTTCAAAGAACTTTAAGCATGTTGGTCTACCTTGGATTCCAAAGAATCAAAGCTTACCATGCAATTTGAGATTATGGCTCTCTTTAGACTGGTTAAATGTAGATATGAGGTATGTTTGTGATTATCTAATATTTTTATTAAACATACAATATTTTGTAAAATAAATTAATAAAATCTTATAATTTAGCATGCATGACACAACTGAGGAAAAAATATTTGATCAATTCACGGCAAAAGCATCGGATAATACAAATGAAATAAATTTCAATGCATCTAACAAGTTTAAAATTGATTTCCTAAAACTATCACAAGAAAATGCTTCAACCCATAATGTATCAAGCGAAGAATCAGACGATGATGATATAAATGATATTGGAGGTATGTATGTGTGTGTACACACACACACACACACACACAATTTATCATATGTAAGGTATCTTTTATATTTTTTTCTGTTTTTCTTTCTATTTTATGTCTAACAAAGTATATACATAAAAATAAAATATAGAGTTAAAGTAATTTTTATCCAGAGTCAAGTATTTGTCTAAGCAAAGGAAAAAGTTACAATTTTTTAAAAAGAAATTTTATTTATAACAGATAAAGTATAATAGATAAAGATAATTACATTGCCTTCATTATTATCATCAATCTTATAAGTACACAATAAATAAGTAAAAATTATATTTCAAAATTACATAAAGTATTATAATATGCTATGTAATTTATCTCATATACAAATAATAATAACTAATATTTCTTGTAAAAAGAATCATAATCGCTTTTTGAAGCTTTGGTAGTTTAGAAATCACTAAAATAATCCTAAGCTTTGTGTTCCAAACACTTTATTTCACTCTTTGCAATCTTTTATAGATTTAAAGTTTGACGAGTACAATTTTATTTTTGAAGCTTTGGTAGTTTAGAAATCACTAAAATAATCCTAAGCTTTGTGTTCCAAACACTTTATTTCACTCTTTGCAATCTTTTATAGATTTAAAGTTTGACGAGTACAATTTTATATTATTTCTTATGTAGAGTGTTGTCGAATGTATTTTATTTAGAACGTCGCTCTCTATTAAAGCAACTTCTATTTTACAGCTTCAAATTCTTCTATTTCTTGACTAGATTGATAATTGCTATCACAAATAAACGAACGGAGAAAATATAATTGCTATAACAAACAGAAATCTTATTTTATGATAATACATATTACTTTTTATCTTACAGAAGTAATAGCTCGAGGGACTTTTGAGAAAAGTCTTCCAAAAGTACTACCTAATACTGAAAATCCTCTATCAAGGAAGCGTAAACATGTGAACATTAACAATGAAGAGAAAACAATGAGAAAACGAAGAATTAAATAAAAAGAAAATAAAAAAGGGAATCAATAAGTGATATCAAAACTGAAAACCAAATCAAAGAAATCGAGATTGATTCAGTTTAAGTACATTTTTTATATATAAGACTGTTATACTCATTAAAATGTGATATATATGAATTAAACTGTGATAAAATAGATATGTATATCATATTGTGATATATATATTTAGTCAAAAAAATAATCTTATAAATGTAAGTTGAGATTGTATTTTTAATAAACATGTCTTTATATGTTGTGTGGATATATATTATCGTCCCATACGTTTCTTGAAATAATGTTAGATTAATCAAAAGTGCTAAAACTTGTTCCTGCATAATGATATATATATATAAAATCAAACGAAAGATTCTTATATTATATAAAGAATTATATCCGTATATACGCTGCAATATTTTTAATTGCGATTGAGAGCATTGACAAGCGAATTATCTTATGGGGAGAAAGATAAGAGCCGAAGGGGGAGAAACAAAAATGACATTATACAACTCTAATTAAACGGTGCGCAGATAATAACATTAAAGCACACAGTAACTAATTTCTGTCGAAGATATTTCGATATTTCCATATTTATATATAAGATATATGCTGCAATGATTAAACGTCGTAGGCCGGGTACAGGTGAATCGCGTATCTTCGTGGTCTCATCCAAAACTTCAGACCGAAGAACTCGGAATGTCTCTTCCGCATATTATTGAAGCAGCAGGCGCGAAACTGCCGGGTGCCGCAGATATCGGCACATTCTCGCCCGCACTGATCGCAGGAAACGGTCTCGCCAAAGGTCCATAGTGCGCATACTGCAAGAGCAGATGAAATTATTAGAGAATACAAAAAATTACGAGTATATAAATTCTTCTCTTCTATACATATACATTTTTTTCTATACTAGATAATTAATGTTATATGATAAGTCAAAACTGATATATCTTTAAAAAGTTGCAGCGCACACAAATTTTTTTATATAAATTTCTTTTAAATTATTTATAATGTATATTTTCAAATTAATAAAATAGTCTTATCAAAAGAGCAAATATGTAAAAAAAGCAAAAAGCAATCTAAAAGATGTAATATAGATGATTAGTGTAAAATTAGAAAAATTATTTTTATCGGATGTCGCGAAACTGGATGAAAAAAAGTAAGAGGACTAAAGCGCGAAAGGAAATTTAATATAAGTATGCTACAACATGATGCATTTATGGATGTGGTGGCGTAGCCATCGATGTTCGGTAATGAATGTCAATCAAGTAATCACAAGTTACCTCGATCGTATTACGCAAATCAATGCATATCTTTACGAAACTTTCTTCAACTTTTGCAGTTTTCATTCTGGACCATCATTATCAGCAGATAACTTTAATAGACAATCTCTTTTATCTAATCTAACATCTCCATATCGTAAATAACAGAAATATTGATCATAAATATATGTGTCCTGTTTAAAGTAATATTAGTCATAATTATATAATATCAAAAGAATATTATTATTTTTTTATTACTTATTATCATCAATTTTTTTAAAAAGTTTTTGTTAACAAAAATTTTATTTTATTAACAAATTTTTATTAATACATTTAAAAATTGTATGGTATACATATACTTATATTTTTTGAATCAGTAAAAACATAAAGTAATATAAACAAATAGATAAAACAAATTATTTTATATATATTATTTTATTAGAAGTTACGCAAAAATGAGATACGATTCTATTCTATACGATTGAAAAAAAGATTAGAGTAAATTAAAAAATAATTAAAATTGCTATTATCAAAAAATGTCATATCACTTATTTTTTTTATTGTTTAATTATCTCATTTTTAAAAATGTAATTGTATCTAATAAAGATTGTATATATAAAAAATGTGTCATTTTAACATTATTTTGTATCTCAGTTTAATATATTTGCATATTATTGGTAGAAAACACAAAATTTGTGCATATCTTGATAATTTCGTCGGTAAACAAATTAATTTTATAAAATTATTTAATTCCATAATATCTGTATATGTTTCTAAAATATTACGAATCACAGGGACATTGAACGATCATGAAGCTACTTATTTGAGCATAAACTGTAATAATCTATTGTTCTCAATAAAGAAGATCAACGCAAAATCCGGCGCGATACCACTTTGTCTTAATTGTCTCGCTGATGGAACACGGTTGATCGGATTATTCCGTAAACATGAAAGAGTCTATAGACATATAGTGATTATCAATCTCATTTAGCATTCCTTTGAAATGTCAGCGATTTGTAATTAGTGCAAAGTATCTTATTGCAAATGTTGCAGTATTGTGTGCAATATTATATACGATATATTAAAAACAGTGTAAATGGTAAAAAAATTATTTTAAAAAAATATACAGTACACATTATTATAAAAAGTATTTTTTTCACGCTTTATGTAAGATATAAAATAAAATATAAAAAAAACCTTAAAATATTAAATAAAATATAAAATAAAAAGAGAAATATCTTTTATATTTTTTGTTTAAGATTTTAAATATATTACTTGAGCATTGCAAAAAAGAATACATTCATTAAAACGATATCAATATTATCATAATCTTGTTTAGCATCTTTTTAAAATATAAACAATTTGTAACAATATCAAAAATAAAAAAAAGAAGTTGTAAATGATATAATATTTGCAGTTTTTGCAAAAAAATACATATAAGGAATACATCATATAAAAATACACTATTGTTATAAAGATCAAAACTTTTTATAAATAAAATAATGAAAAACGTATATAAAAAAGTAAAACTTGTGCGATACATTTTTCAAAATTTTAAAATATTTGAGTAAAGTAATAAAGGGATAATAATAAATGATTTAATATAGAAAAATGATGGTAAAAAAGTATATTAAATAATCTAATATAATATAATATTTAAGATCGAGAGATATAATATATATTAGCATAATAAAAATAATTCTCTTACCTGCGAGAAAAAGCAGCACCCAGGGATGATTCATTTTTATGAAGTATTCGTTTTTACAAGAGTACGACGGTTGATGAGTTTGGAAACTTGATAATTTTGAAGATGAACGCTATTTGCAAACAATGAAATCTATTAGTGACAAAAATATTAGCACGCAAAAAGAATTTTGAAAACTTAATGACTCCGCTAAAACTGTTAGTAAAATTTTGATGAAATAAAGCATGTATCTTGGATTATAATATGTTGTTCTAAGTTCAATGTATAAATGTATACATTCTACGATTTTAAAGTATATATAATATATATTTCACAATTTTCTCTTCTAATCGCGATATTTCGATGTTTAATTGAAACATTAGCACTGTTAATAAATATATTCTTATTAATGATGTTATCGAAATGCGATTATTCTATTTATCGTTACATTAAAAAACATATATTTAAGTAAATCTATATTATATTAAAATAACAAATTTATACATACACGTAGAATGGTTTGCTATATAATGTTAAGAGTTGTTTTAAGTTTTTAATATAAATTCTCAATTTACATATGACTAAGATAACTGAAGATACCAGTATCAAAATAGAAATCATATAAATGGAAAAATTCAAAATAATTTTGATATATATATAATACAAAGTTAGAGCATTTTGAAACAAATAAAATATCATTCAATATAATATTACAAATTTATATAAATGATTAAGACGTGTTAGAAAGAAGAGAGAAATTCGTCGTAAATGGTTACTTACAGCTGAGTGCCGAGAAGCGAATGATAATCTTGAGGGATACCGCTACTTCTAGATATCATCCCTACCATCCAAGATTATCTCTCTTTCATCCCCACTCTCAACGCAACCGCTTTGTCACTTCAATATAGCAATATCTGCTATACTGAAGATGTTTGAAATCAAATCGCGAATGCTAATCATTAAAATCATTGGACAATCGAAGCCATTTGGCGAATAACGCGTATGTATAGAAAATGTATGTCTAGAAAAATAGATTTTTAATATATGATCCATTTAAGATATACATATAAGCGTTTTTATTTAATTTTTTTACGGCAAATATTCTTGGACTCTAAAATAAATATGCATTAAATACCTATTTTCTAGAATTAATTGCTGAGTTTATTTTATAGTCTTATGTTAATATTAATCTGAGAACGGTAACATAAAAGATATCGATAAACAACATCGCGTTGTGCCTCCCTTGTGAAACATTTGTGCGATAGGGTAGCAATTGCGCTGAAACACACGGAAGACATACATATTTAATAAATATTCCATTACTCGAGAAATGTGAAGACTGGTTTGTTTGAGATTCTGAGAGCTAAAGTGCATTTATACGCTCGACTTTCAACAGATATGTATCAAAAATCTTATTAAACTTTACAGGCAATATTTGCAGTTTATCGATAATATTAGAACAAAAATGATGTTTTTCAAGATAGCCTTCCAATCTTGATAAAATAGCTTAGATTTAGACAATATAAAGCAAATTGTTATTTCATTTCTCTTTTCGTTCTTTAATTTATTGTCTGATAATACGGACGCGATAGAGAATTAAATAACGGTAAAGTTGTTCGTCTTAAATGCAATATTGACTATCACATTGGAACGATTCGAACTAGGATAGTAGACGATCCGTTCCCGGCGCTTATATTCCGTATTGGGAATCGACATTTCGCATTCGACGACTGCAGGATCCGGCATGTCCTCGATGATGGCGTCCAGCGATACCTCATAATCATCCTTGTACCAATCCGTCGAAAATTCTGAAGATTCGTAATTGCTCCCGCGATCGTTTCTCTCGACTCCTTCGACATAGAGCTTCAAAGACGGCTGTGGTCGCGCACCCGTCACCGCACATGTTAAATTCACGTGAGTCTTGTTGAAAGGATACGTGCGCACCGTCATGTCGCTTTCCGGCACTTAAAAGTAAAGAGCAATTATCAATTACAGGAAATCAATTGCCGAGAGACAGAAATAAATTTTAGATCGAATTCTTTTAAAAACTTGCCATAGACAATCATCTTTGCTGAAGCACTCGCCTCGTATTGGAACGTGCTGATTGTGCACACATACTCCCCTGTCATGTCGATTGTAACGGTTTTCAATCGAATTACAGAATGCGAATTCGGATTCCTCAGGTTTTCAACCGGATATTCCGCGAGATCTTTGATGATTCCGATATCTTGCGGTGGCACTGACATCATAGATATTATGAGTAGTACTCATTATAATATGAATTGATATGAAATAGATTTAACAAATACAATGCTTATTTTCAGAAAAAATATTAAATTTTTCTATCTTATTATATACTAATTATAGCAAAAAAATGAATAAAAATTATAATGTTTTGTTATTTTATAATTTTTGCTAAAATTTTTCCTGTAATATTGCTATATATATATACTCAGACAGCACAAAACGTCCTCAGGATCATCCTGAATATGTCCAGGATGGTTCAGGATATTTGTAGGATGTTTTAAGATATTATTATAAATATATTTTATGAAAATTTAATATGCATACATGATTACTTTCGGTTATGTAGGCTATTTAATATAATTTAGAAATTTTAAGTATTGTAATAAGTATTAATGTCCTATAAATGTCCATTGGATAACCCCTGGATGTCTGTAGGATATCTGCCCTGTCTATTACCCAGACAGCACAAGGATGTCCTTAGGACGTCCAAAGGGCATCCAATATAATAGACAGGGCAAATATCCTACAGACATCCAGGGGTTATCCAATGGACATTTATAGGACATTAATACTTATTACAATACTTAAAATTTCTAAATTAAATTAAATAGCCTACATAACCGAAAGTAATCATGTATGCATATTAAATTTTCATAAAATATATTTATAATAATATCTTAAAACATCCTACAAATATCCTGAACCATCCTGGACATATTCAGGATGAACCTGAGGACATTTTGTGCTGTCTGGGTCACTATGTAGAAAAAGCAAAATCTCGCAAGCTTACAAATATATGTTTAATACTACAAACACAATAATGAGATATTAAAACAGTGACATACGCGAGGTTAGGATATCTGTCATATGTGCAGTAGGCAATGTATAAAAACGTTCTGTTAAAATATTTTTATTATTTATATATGGGTTTATTTTTTGTATATATATATTTTTCCTGTTGTTTGCTATCCGTAAACAATTAATAATTGTACTCTTTCGAAATTAAAATTCCACATATATCACGACATCGTGAGATTTTACGTGCAAAAGAGTACCGTACAATTATTAAATGTTTACAGACAATATATCATACATAAAACACAGATATACAACAAAAAAACCATATATAAATAAAAACATTCTAACAGGTCGTTTTTATATATATATATATAGCAATATTACAGGATATATTTACATAGCAACAGTATATATAGCAATATTACAGGATATATTTATGCATATATATATATATATATGCATAAATAAAATAGTTATTAACTCGACCTCCTAAAAGTGGCGAGTATAAAATACAAAAAATCATTTATTAAACAACACAGTTGCAAAAATGTTCAAATGCGCTAATAAAATTCCAATTAAGCGTCCAATTATCTTTTCACAGGCAAAAAGTCCGAGTAGAATTCTATAATTTGTATTTTTAATTTTTATCTATCAACCTTCTGTATGCTAATTGTAAGTTTTAACCTGTGACATTTGTGTCTTTTCATGGTCGCGCGTTGAAAGTTGCCGGATATTCCGCGACAGTTCCGATATAATGAAGTTACCGACGTAATAATACACAAATACACACACAACCAATATAGTAAGTTATAATAGGATAAATACGTAGGCGTTAAAAGTATAAATTACTTGGCGGAATCCATTGATAGATCTGATTCTCTCCGTGAAACCATTTGATTACAAGTCCATTATCATCTTTGTCAATCTCGTAGATGCAAATAAGATTTATCGGTCCGGTGCCGTTGCGCACAATGTGCGGCACGTCCAAGAATTTTATCGAGGTACCATAAGCCCCTGCGAAATTTTTCGAGATATAGCTTATTTGATCATAATAAATGCGTCATCGGGATATTTTTGACTGACAAAGATAATCATTAAAAGAATTTTCCATATAATTATCGGCCATCTAAAAAGCGAAAAGTTTTAACGAGATTTTTAAGCTCGTCACTGACTTTTATCAAAATTATTTTTAGAATTAAAATTTCTCGAATCATACGTGAGAAATTGCGCTTTAATGCGACACAACAATGTATTGAAAAATTCGAAAAATTCAAAATAATAAAATTTTTGAAATGATAAGAATTTGGATAAGAATTTATACATACTCGATACATATTAGATATTGATAAAAACTGAGAGATTATCCAAAATTGTATCTGGAAAAGATATATATTCCGCTATCACGGTGTCGCAAATATCCCGATTGATATCACAACGTTTGCGAATCCGAACAAATTTTCGCACACTTCTCGATTGAATCACCCCGATTTCGGAAATCGTAAATTTCGCGCGCGGTACTTCGTTACTCACCCGAATAACAGCCGAATATTAAAAGAGCGATTATCGAGGGCGAGACCGTATGTGCTATCGACAACATTCTTTCCAAGGTCCCTTTTCGCACTGATACACAATTAAATACGGCTCGTCTAACTCATGTTATCGTGCAACACCATAGCCGATACGATTCTGCGCAGCATCATGTATCCCGCCTCTTTTGTATCCGACACATGCTCTACACGGACGACTGTTACCACGATATCTTGCCGATGTCTCGTAGAAATGATGAGACCGAATAAAAATAATTCTCTTGTAAATCAATACTTCCATACAAATATATTCTTCTGAAAAAACTTTCGCAAACTCTCGATAAGATTCCCTTTTTTTAATTTAGCTGCGCTCAAACGGACGTTTTACGCATTGCTCCTTATCTGAAATAACTGTATATAGTTATATCAGAGAGAAGCCTGAGAGAGGCAATATATTATTTATTAATTATATAATTAATCAGTGTTTGTGCCTTTACGGATGCTACACACATATGCGATGAAAGAGAGACAAAAACGGCGCAATCATCTCTCTTTGTCAAACGATCAGTGTACTATCCATAGACATAAGATGTCTTCCGAAATGCGCTGAAATTACTGACAGTACTGCTGCTGAAATCAACGTATTTCAGTCGTTCCGAAATTGTCAGTAGACTGTGGCAGCAATGAAAATCGGAACGCATTTGCAGTAGAAAAAACAGTAGAAAAAGAGACAAAAAAGTGTAGAGCGATATAATCTATTTAAAAAGGAATAAAAGTGACATTAAAATGGAAAAATTAACTACAATTGTAATTAGTATACAAAATATTACAAACTTTATTGAGAATTATTGCCAAAGTTCATCATCTTCGGATGATGAAGACTTTTTGACACTTTTTAAAATATTTTCTAATACTCGAAAATCAAAATTTTTATCTGTAATATCAATAAAATATTATTAAAATTATAAATTTATAACTGTTTATTTATAAAGATTCCTATAACTTTATTTTCATAAAGATTCTCTTCAATTAATCGTAACTTATTTGCTAACGCTTTCTCGTAATTATTTGATATTAAAAATATTTTGTATGTATTATTTGTACTTCCATTTATTATTTTATATTTGTTTAATGACATGTTGTGATTAATAAAAAGTATTTCCTTCTTTTTCGATTCAATATTTCGTTCATGTTTTACGAAACCGCTAACCGCCATATGCATTACTGAACTCGCACTACCTCGGGAGTATGTGCAAAATCAGCCGGAAGTCAGCAATTCTCTAGGATCTCTCTATTTTCGTTAAAAAAGTAGTAATTATTATTCTCTTGCAGCATGCTGAAAACATTTTCGGAACGCGAAAACAGTACTGTCAGTACTTTCAGCGCATTTCGGAAGACAGCCATAGTATATCTAGACCGAGTGTTGAGGAGTGAGGGCCAAGGTGCACGTAGAAAAGGACATACTCTGTTCCGTGCCCCTTGCGTTCTCTCTCACTCGCATGTAGCATAGCGAAAGAGTACGCTATACTATGTGCGAGCGAGAGAGAACGCAAGGGGCACGAAACAGAGTATGTCTTTTTCTACGTGCATCTTTACCCCTACTCCTTAAATAAAGGCAAACGCTCGGTCTAGATATATTATGTCTATGGTACTACACCATTATCGAAAAAATCGAAAAGTGGATGTAGCACGGATATGAACCAAATGACCGACATTATTGAAAAGTGGATGTAGCACGGACATGAACCACATGGAGATTTGACCGACAGTACCGAAAAGTGAATGTGGGTAAAGCGGGGAGCACACACTTTTGCATAAGCGCATAATCACAAGCATAAGAAAATTGATTGGTCCATTTCCTTATGCATAACGAAATTGACCAATCAATTTCCTTATGTTTATGATTATGCGCTTATGCAAATGTGTGTTCTCCCCGCTTAAAGCCTATCACACACAAATCGGCATAGCTGCATATGCATAGCATAAGACCGTCTGGACCAATGAGCATCGAAATAAAATCGCCCTATTGATTTACATAGCATGCTCATTGGTCCAGACGGTTTTATGCTATGCATATGCAGCTATGCCAATTTGTGTGTGATAGGCTTTAAAGTGGATGCACGGCGCTACTCCACGGTCTAGAATAGAGTCTAGAAAAAGCATCCCACGAAAATCGCCGGCATTGCCTCTCTCAGGCTCAGGGCCTCAGCACAATAAAAGGAATAAGGTACAAGGAATAGAGAAAGAGAACAGAGAACAACCGCATTGGAGGGAATGCGCGCACAACACTTGTGTGTTTATTGTGCTGAGGCCCTCAGGCTTCTTTTTGGTTATATTATTGAACAAAAACTTGGATAATTTTTCTTTCGAAAAGAAAAGCAAGAAAGAAAAAAATGGATTTTCTGGAATATCCGGACATTTTTGCCGAGGTTAAGGGCGCTATGGTAAGAATTCTTAATTGTTTTGAAGCAAAATTGATTACGTATAATTGATTTTTATATTATTAAATAAACATTAGAATCCTAATTTGCTTGATATGATTAAGAAGCGAGAAGTTTTTATTTTATTACGTGAAATTCGCTAATATTAAACATGATTGATTACAATTCTGGTCTTTTAAGTTTGTTGAGAATATGCGAATCGTTATTTTAGTAATTATTACACTATGTAATTAAAAATAGATTTTTCTTTAAAATATACAAGTAATGAAAATTATTTTAATGATTAAATTATCATATAATTGATGGAATCGTTTTCTATCATTACCAGACACCAGGTAGATTAAAATTGACCGACCAACACCTAATCTTCAAGAATCAGAAGACTGGTAAAGTAGAACAAATTTCTGCTTCTGATATGGAGTTGGTAAACTATCAAAAATTTATTGGAACCTGGGGCTTACGTATTTTTTTAAAAAATGGTACTCTGCATCGTTTCAAAGGCTTCAAAGAAGCTGACCAGGAAAAGATTGCCAAATTCTTTTCTGTCAATTATAAGAAAGATATGTTGGAAAAGGAATTGAGTTTAAAAGGTTGGAATTGGGGTACTGCAAAATTTACAGGATCTATCCTGAGCTTTGATGTAGGTCATCACACTGCTTTTGAAATACCTCTGTATGATGTATCACAATGTAATACGGGAAAGAATGAAGTGACCTTAGAGTTCCATCAGAATGACGATGCCCCGGTCAGTCTAATGGAGATGAGGTTTCATATTCCTGTTAGTGATAGTGTCGACCAAGACCCTGTCGAAGCATTCCATCAACAGGTAAGAGAGGATTTATTTAAATAATGAGCAAATATACTCACATACTTTAAATTCACAATAAAAAGAAAAATAATTTATTTATAACTCCTAATAGGTGATGGATAAAGCATCTGTGATCAGTGTAAGTGGCGATGCGATTGCTATATTTAGAGAGATTCACTGTCTAACCCCACGTGGTCGTTACGACATCAAAATCTTCCAGTCTTTCTTTCAACTGCATGGCAAAACTTTTGACTATAAAATTCCCATGTCAACTGTCTTGAGACTTTTTCTATTACCACACAAGGATAGTCGGCAAACGTTCTTTGTCGTGAGTCTGGATCCTCCTATAAAACAGGGTCAAACACGATATCACTATCTGGTTCTCCTGTTCAATCAAGAAGAGGAGACCTCTATCGAGCTTCCATTCACTGAAAAAGAGCTAAAAGAAAAGTACGAAGACAAACTAACGAAGGAATTAACAGGACCGACATACGAAGTACTTGGCAGGGTTAGTAAAGCAAGAGATTAAAATCACGCTTTTTTTTTAATATTTACATCTTTATTTTAACATTGTTATTTGTTTCGGCTAGGTGATGAAAGTAATTATTAACCGGAAGATAACCGGACCTGGACATTTCTTGGGTCATACGAAGACACCTGCGATTAGCTGCTCTTTTAAAGCCGCGGCAGGATATTTATATCCGCTCGAACGAGGTTTCATCTATGTGCATAAACCGCCAATACATATTCGTTTTGAGGAAATAGCTTCGGTAAATTTTGCGCGCGGTGGCGGTTCGACCAGATCTTTCGACTTCGAGATCGAACTTACGAGTGGTGTAGTTCACACTTTTAGCAGCATTGAAAAAGAAGAATATGGTAAATTGTTCGATTTCATTACGTCGAAGAAACTTCGTGTTAAGAATCGCGGCAAGAGTGACAAACCTAAGTACGACGAGGACTTTGGGGACAGCGATCAAGAGGATGAACCGGATGCTTACTTGGCGCGAGTCAAAGCGGAGGCGCAGGAGCGGGACGGTGAAGAAAACCAAGATTCCGAGGAAGGCTCGACTGATGAAGATTTCAATCCAAATCAAGACGTAAGTGATGTTGCCGAAGAATATGACAGTAATCCCAATAGTTCCGACAGCGACGAAGACTCGGATGCGTCTGAGGCTAGTCATAAAAAGGAGAAGAAAGAAAAGAAAGAAAAGAAATCTAAATCGGCAAAAACAATATCAGAAAAGCCGCGCAAGCAGAGGAAATCGAAAAAAGATAAGGACGCAAATAAACCGAAGAGACCTGCAACGGCATTTATGTTATGGCTTAACAATACACGCGAAAGTATTAAGGCGGAGAATCCGGGAATAAATGTAACAGAAATCGCGAAAAAGGGAGGTGAAATGTGGCGAGAGCTCAAAGATAAATCAGAATGGGAGGCGAAGGCAGCTAAGGCTAAAAAAGAATACGCGGCATCAATGAAGGAATACGAAGCAAGCGGAGGCGGTAAAACTGAAGAAAAGACGGAAAAAACGGAAAAAAAGAAGAAGGAAACGAAGAAAGAGTCCCCTAGCAAAATGATGACTGGCTCGTCTTTTAAAAGCAAAGAATATATCAGCGATGATGATAGTAGTAGCGACGAGAGCAAAAAGTCCGGAAAGAAGAGTTCTGATAATGAAAGCCGAGAAGGAAAGAAAGAGAAAAAAAGTGAGAAGCGATCCACGGAAGATGCTGAGAAAAAGGCAGTAAAGAAGAAGAAACGAAATCAGTCAGACAATGAAGAAAGCGACGCGGAAGAACCCATTGAGAGCACTCCGCCTTCATCCGACGCGGAATCTAAAAATAGTGATTAATCAATGCTAAAGTATTTAAATCAATATTTTCTTTCATCTGTTTACATATACCAATGTTTATTTACCGATTTAAAAATTTGCACCATTAGAAATTCTTTGATGAAAGTAAATGACTTGACACTTACAAGAAGATGAGCGTTTAACGGGATTAATATTACATATGTGTAGTATACATTAATATTTTAATTATAAAGTAAAATATTAATAAGATCTGAATATCGAAATAAACGAATTATTGTTATTAATTTTTCAAATTTCTATTTTCTCAAACAAATATACTTTTTCTCATTAATGAAAAAATTATGTAAGGGAAATTTTTTTTCTGTACAAGAACTAGGGTTATTTCCATCTTATTCTCTCTCAGTAATTATTTAATACATAAAAATAATTTCTTTTTATAATTAAAATCGTTCCTTTACACAATTTTCTCTCCACACAACCTAAGAGCTAAGAATTTAATAAAACGTGTGCACAAATTAAACAAATAATTAAATTTATTTCATAGCACACATGCATTATACAATTTCTTCTGAAATATATATTTTAATATTTAATACTACAAATAAAATCTATAAAATATTCAGTTTAAAACTCTATCGATTATTCGGTAGCAATACATATAATACTATAGATGACTATATATTAATTATATATTCGGATA